TGTGTGTGTGTGTGATCATAGAGCCACACAACCCAGTACAGCTGACTCTCAACTAGGAATGGCTTTCCAAGATACTGGCCTTTTCAGTTCCTGCGACATAAAATTTTTCTGTTTAGTAGATTCTGGGGAATAAATCTGAGACACCAATACATGCCTTACCGCAGGTCATCTACTGCTGATCCATGGGTGCTCCTATAACAGTAGTGGCGAACCTATGGCCCCAGCCAGGCCCAGACCATCATTAAAGTGTTGAATTCTCTGCCAAATAATTTTAAGTAAATGAAAACATTTGGGATTGCTTTCCTTACTTTGTTTGGATCATCTTAAGTTAATGGATGATTTGTTCTTTCTAAAGTAAAACCTCAGTATTCAGGTTAAATTGCCGTGTTGGCACTTTGCGATACATAAGTGGGTTTTGGGTTGCAGTTTGGGCACTCAGTCTCTAAAAGGTTCGCCATCACTGTCCTATAAGGTGCTTTTTAAAATAAATTGCATTTTAAATTTGTTCCTACCCTTATGTTATGTTTCAGAATCAACCAAGTAAGTAAAGAACACCATGAAATCAGGCTGACTTAAACACTCCTGTGGTCATTAGTCAAATTCTAATAATGATGTTAACAAAAACAAAGTAGTTATATTTTTGTCAGTGCAAAATTGACATACATGAGATGCATCTTAATATAGTAATCTACAGTCATAAGCTGCATACAAAATTCATAACACTACAACAGCACTGAACATCTAACAAATGCAACACAATATGCAACTGAACATGTAATACAGGAAAACCATAGAAAAACTACAACAGACTTGAAGTCTCAGAAGAATTTTTTTTTTAAAATGTGAAAATGCAATATGAGCAGCTGGATTTCAGACCATTTCAACCATGTATCTTCATCAGGTGATGTATACAAACATCTGTCGACTGTTGCATGGAATCCAAGGTAGATTTTGTTTGTAACTGCCAAACATGCAGAAAGATAACGGTAAAGTCTTGGAAAGAAATAAATCTACTGTGTAATATTGGAATCGCCAACCATGTAATAGAGATTCACGGTGTCAATTTCAAAAGTTGGCAAGAGAAGTTGGAGAAATAATACAACTTTATTTGTTTTTGCTTAGTCAGATATACTACTAATAAAGCAGAACACCTAATGACCACAGGAGTGTTTAAGTCAGCCTGATTCCACGGTGTTCTTTACTTACTTGGTTGTATCCTATACACCGTGGTCCATTTTTTTTTGTCTGTTGTCTAACATGTTTCAGAATCAGGCAATGAAAACCAATTATGCTGGTCGTGGGCTCCATGTAAAATCACAACATAGTGGGCTTCTGCAGTTTCCCATACAATAAACTGGGTAGCAGATTTAGAAGGGATTCCTGAAACAGAACATATAACCATTCTTTTTTTTAAAAAGTGACTTTCTAGCTTTTGCATGGAAATAGCTTTGCAAATGGGGAGTTCTCTTAAAGAGCATGAGAGCTCCTGCTTGTATTCTCCCCCATGTACAAAGGGCCCATTCTTAACTCTTTGTATTCTTTCAGTCTTCTGATCCACCCGTGACCCTCTTGAGCTGCTGCCTCCCTGCACCCTTCATTATTCAGTCATCCTTCAGCTCTATTCCCCATGCAGTGAATATCAAGATGGACTGACTGATAAAAATCACTCAGGGGATTATCTTTATCCCTTCTCAAAGCCTTTCCTGGTCCACCCCAGGGTGTCTGCTGCCAAATAACCCAACCCTGCCCCAGTGTGCGTCTCTACTACATAAAGTACCTCGTCTCTCATTCTCTTTCTCCCTCCTGTCTCACTTAGTTTGTAATCCCACTAGGAAAAAAGGATCCTGTCACTGCTGTGCTTTATATAGGACCTAACACCCTGCTGGTACTAATTAAAGCATTAAACAGCAGCAATAGGAAATGCTGCAAATGTACTTGTGCAGCCAGGGATCACAAGCCAGGGACAGGACCACCTCTGCGCCTCCTGTAGCAATTTGTTCCATTTCCCCCATGGCTTGCGCTTCTGTCTTCATATTGCTACATCCTTGCTGCTATTCTTCTGATTTCCTTGCCATCCTGGCCCTTGCAAAAGTTTCACTGCAGGGGAACAAGCCACCACCAGCCCTCCTTCCAAGCCCTAAGAGGATTATTAGAACAAATAAAACAAACACAGCATATGAAAGAGAAGGAATGCTCATGGAGGACCAGTTAGGAGGAAGAAGATGAACCTTGGGTAGGATCACGTGTTCCCTGAAAGACCACAGTCACACCCTGGGGCGCCACTGGACCCAGCCTCACGCCTATATTCCCAAGCGTTGGCTTTGGATTGGAGTGCCCTTTATCCACTTCAACTGGTTCACTAACCACATTCTCCATTAGAAGAAAGATCTGGCCGCTGTGATTAATGCCTAGTGGTCTCTAGATCAGACTACACAATGCTCTCTGCATGGGGCTGCCCATGAAAACAGTTATTGTAGCTGGAGCAAAATGCAACAGCTAGACTGGTATCGGATATATGTTTGTAGAATCACTTCATGGCCCACAGTGAAACAAATGTACTAGCCACCAGTGTAGATCCAGCCAAATCAGAAATGCTGGTGCTGATTCCCAAAGCCCTAAACAGCCTGGAAATTTCCATAAATTATGATGTGATGGAAACAAAACCCACTTTTTCGTAGAAAACAAAGGGTTTTTTGGGGGAAATTGCAATATACACAATACTTACTTGCCTATCAAGCCTAAACTTCTTTTACTGATTTAACAGCATAAAACACATCATTTTATAACTCAATAGCAAATAAAATGGTACTGTCTGACATATTTATGGAATTTAAAAGTATGAAACTCTCTCAGGAGTCACAATAGGTAGAACTACTACCATGTTTGGATATTAAGCAAAACTTTATTAACAATGAAAACACTGAACTCATTCATGCTGTTATCATCAAACACATCAACTGTTGCCAAAACTATTAAAAATATTCCTGAAAATGTTGCATATGTCTGCAATATAAGAGTGTTCCCTAAAATTCCCCAATCTTCCCATTGGGAAAATCAAAAAAGTCTCGGACTTTTTCATACTGCATATTTTAAGTGTGGAAAAAACTTGCCTGGATGAGCACTGTACTTGGTTCTGAAAGAGAAAATATCTGATAGGTGTTTTTCTTAGTGCTCCCTATATATTCCAATTTTCCACTGAAAAAATAAAGTGTCTATCCCCTCAAAACAACCACCACCACCACCACCAACAGAAATATACCTTTCCCCTGAATTTTTCACTCCCCCCATGCCTTCACATCTTTAAGCCTGCATTCTATGCATCTCAGGGAACGCCTGCTCCCATATGAGTTTAAAATTTAAGATCAACACACTACAAAGTGAAATGGATATGATCTATTGGACATATTCAGAATTTATTAAGAAAAAAACCCTGCCTGGTGAAATATATGTCAGATTCTCTAAGAGATCTATAAGAGATGCAATATTGAAAGAAACATCTGGGACTACACTGGAGATTAAAGAAGACATCAGAATATTGAAAGAGATTCCATTTGAGATAAGGAAGAAGAGAAAACAGTACAAGAATTTAACCACCTATTTACGGGAAAATTCCACTACCTACCGATGGATACTACCTGAAGGTTTGATGTTCAACTACAAAGGCAAAAAAGAAAAGATTGACTCTTTTACCAAAGTGAAGCAGTTTTTGGAGAGACATCAAGAATCAAAAAAAGGTACAAAGAACACAGAGGAAGAAGAACAAGGAGAACTGGACAGTCAGCATGGCTTGGAAAGCCACGTAACATCCGTAGATGGCTGCTCAGAAGTAGAATCTGAATCAGAATTGGGAGCGGCAGCACCCAAACCACCCTGGCACGATAAAAGCAAGAAGAGAGGGGGGGAAAGGCAGAAAATAGCCTAAACTTTCGAAGAAATGTTTATATTACATTACATAATCTTGCACTGTCAATAATTTTAATCTTTTGCATATTGAAATAATAGAATGGAATTTTTATTCATAATCTGAATAAGAGAAAAGCTTTGACCTAAGACGATAATTATTATCATATATGGTCGTTGTACAGCTGTAATTTTAGTTAGTGTGTAGTTTTTGTAGGAGTTATGTAGAAAATAAAATTAAAAAAAATTAAGATCAACTGGGGAGGCCCTGCTCCAGGTCCCAGTTTATTCAAAGGCAAGAAGGGGGTTCTTCAAGGAGCAGGGTCTTAGCATTAGATGCCCTCGAGTTTTGAAATGTGTTCTGCAAGATGGTGAAGATCTCTTCTGTTTTACGCTTGGCCTTGGCTAGTAATATTTTGAATCCACAATTAAGTATTTGGGTGCTTTTTTTTTGTTTATTTTATTCACCCTACTAGATAGCTATTATTTCTTTATTTTCATGGCCCCCAGTTTGCAAGACCTGAACAATGCTTTAAGGATAGCAAGTTTTGGAGATTCATTTATGGGGTCGCCATAAATTGGAAGTGACTTAACACACAGAGACACACACACCGCATTTATACCATTACATCTTAATGTCAGCGACAGTAGTTATAATTTTATCCGATGGCTGAATGTTCCACCAGGCTTTTGGCTGAGGCGGGGTGGATGTCCAAATGACACCGGCCTTCCCTGCTTAACCTGCCTGCTTTATCTGCACCATCCACCTAGGGCACTCCCGATACCAACTGGCGCCAGCACCAGCTGATCCTGGCTCTAAGAAAAACGTGCCCTTCCCGACATTAGTGCAGCAGTCACTGCAGTCAGAACTATGAATGCTGCCATTTGGGATTTTAAACTGATGTTTCGGTGATGTTTTTATGAATTATTATTTATTGTTTTACTATGTTGTGAGCTGCCCTTAGCCTGCTTGCAGGGTAAGGTGGGGTATAAATGGAATAAAATAAATAAATAAATAAAATATTTATATTATATAAATAAGAATTCATCATGCTCACACTCTCTCTCACACCCACACCAGTAGTATTCAGGGCACCTACCTCATATTCAAGGGCTAGATCTGTGTGGTCGTCAATGTCCACTTTTGCCATCAGCACTCTGCCCTTCTGCTTTGCCACCATCTTTTCTAGTCTGGGCCCCAGGATCTTGCAGGGGCCACACCACCTCCAAGTGAAGAAAAGGACATTAAGCGTTCAGTCAGGAAAACAGCAGCAGCAACAGCTTTTCCTCATTCCCTTCAAGGGTGAAGTGACTGTTGAACCACAAGGAAAACCTCTGAACTTTGAATATCCACCCTGAGAGTTTCCTGTCAAGAGTTTATAAGCTTGAATTAAATACTATTAGTAGCATTTCTACACAGGGTCCCAAAAAAGGTATTTTCGAGCCTCTTCTGTGTTATTTGCACCTTGT